TTTAGGGCCATGGTGATTTATTTATTCACTTTACTTTTTTAACAAACATGTGAATAGCGAAGATAAAATCAGATAAAATGGTTCATTTTAAAAGTATTCGCATTGTATGTGTAGATAATTAAAAATAATAAAAGGGGGTTAAAATAATAAAAGAGATAACGAATAGATGATATGGAATATGCGATATATATATAACGTCAAAAAGGATAAGGTGGGTTAAAAGACATCAGAGTCTATAAAATAGACCGATGTCTTTCAAATAGTTAAATAATGCCTTCGAATCCACGGAACTGAAAAGTGTTTTCATATCCGGGACTCGGAAGTAGTTATCACGAATGTGTTTAAAATCGGAACATGAGGGACTTCGTTTGTGGGTACTGAACCCGGAAGCATTTAATTGTGACCTCAGTCCATCTTCTCGTTTTAAAAGGTACGAATGAGTAGGATATGTGTGCCCAGTGCGGAACCGAGCGAGGACAACTTCCTCTCTACGATCTTTCCGACTGGGAATAGATGTTTAAAGTTTCGGTTGTATCTTAAAAAGTTTGTTGGTGGTCTCCAGAGACCAGCGTTTCTGCCATTCATTTTGAATGGCTGTACGAATAGAAGGTTTAAAATCTGTGTATGGTAGTTTGATATTTGTTTGTTCAAGATTCAATGCAATTTTTGCTTCCCTGTCAGCAAATTCGTTGCCTTTTATTCCGACATGGCACGGAATCCATAGTAAAGTTATTTTAGACTTTTTTAATATACGAGATATTCGAAGAGCAAGGTTTTGACCGAGTGTATTTTTAGGATCTCGTACAATACACAATGTCATAGGAAAAAAATAGGCAAATTATTGCGTTTTGAAAATAGTCCCAAATATGGCCGACTTTGCTGAAGAAATAGCATGTAAGTACATGTTGACTTTGCTGAAGAAATAGCATGTAAGTACATGTTAAGTGTTTTGTTATATCAAGTCATATAGTCTCAAATTGGACCAAGTAAGACTGGCACAACATGAAGTTGTATTTAAACTTAATATTATTGTTAAATTGTGTACAGTAGTGAGAAATTCTGGTGGAGCAAAATCTGTTGGTTTTGGTTCCAAGACTCTTCAATGATATGTTATGTGAACATTTACCCTAAATACTAATATGAAGTGATGAAACACCATATCCTGACCTTCATTTTGATTAAGAAATAATCAACATATGTGCGTGCATTATGGTGGAATATATAACTCGGATTCCAACATTTTCGAATCCCGAGTTATATATTCCACCATAATGCACGTACATAAGTTGATTATTTTTTATTCTACCACGTTAAATGTAACTAATTGTAAGGTTTTGCTGTCTTATAAGGCGACATGACCTAGATAATTCGATATGCAAATAAGACGCTGTTCTTTTGCGCGTGCAAGATTTATCACATGATTTTGTTGCCT